TTTATAATGCCGTTGCTATGTACAGATCACCATCATGTGCTCTATATTTTCGTTTTCGTTTTTTTTCGATGGGGCATTTATGTGTTGGTGAATGTATCATATTTAGCACTACGTATCATTTGTGGATAGCGCCCCTTTCCAAGAAAGAGCAAAATCCTTAAATGATATCAACATATTATGTAGGAGCATCCAACCTCGTTAACCATATTATTATTATATAGAAATTAATATGTTTTGTCGTATTGTAATATTTACATCATTCTGCCTCTCCCAAGCGAGATGTCATGTGAAACCACTCTTTGTTTAATATTGTACCCTGAAGCTCTTTGGTTTGGTAATTTTATATAGCACAGTGAATCAGCTTAAAGTGTATGAGCTACTTTTCCATTTACCAAAGAATTATTTCCCGTGAACACACATGCCATCTCGACTTCTTGTCACGTATTGCCATGTTTATATTTGTGTATGTATATACTTATATTGATGCTTTGTCAATGGCTCTTTTTAGGGCTTTAGTGCAAATAAAAAGTTTTTCTTCTATTTAGAATTAATATGAAACATAACCAATCAATATAAACATTTCACAGCGTTAGAACCACGCGGTGATCCATTCGGACAGAGCCTACAATTTTAGTCTCGTTTTCATTCCCAGAACTTTTTAACAAGTTTGCTTCTTTAAAAAGAAGCATGCGAGAGGTATTTTGCTGCTGTGGAAGATTTGTTTAATTTGAAAATATTTGGGGATATTATATGGCATAAAAGACACAATGAATGGTTATAAATTACAATTATTAAACAAAATAGAATTAAAAATTTTATTATATATAATGCAATGGAAGGTTGTTTTACACTTCATCATTTTTAATGTTTTAAAAGATTATATGCCGGAGAAATGAACTTTTTTCTTGGCGCATTCGGGATGCTTTTTCTACAAAAAAGAAAAATATAAAATTACTTAATGTACATTTAATGATACATAATATTATATCATTTACATTTGTATTTTAAATTCAGTTCCCTTTGTAGAAAAAGTATATAGATATTTAAAGTAATATCCAAATAAAAGTTTCTTGTAAAGTTCAAAAAGCAAATTTTCGGTTACTATTTTGTTAAATATAATGAAACATTTCCTCTACATTTTCCAAAAGGGGTATAAAGTATGATAATCAAACAATTTTAAGTCCAGGGTTTACATAAAAAATGTTGATATCATTTGATTGGAATAAACAGTATACACTGTTATAAACTGTTATACTATTATATACTGTTTATTGGAATACACAGTATATAAAGTTGCATGCCTCTAACCAAAATATTAGAAGAAAATCAAACTTGAGGTAAAATTTATGCCATTTACGCCAAAAAATCTCTTTTTGCGTTATTTAGACATACCGGTTCAATACACGGTTCACTCGGTCATATAATATGTTTGTTTGTTGTTTGTTTAATTGTACGCCTTTTCCCAACAGTATTTTAGTCATATAGGCGGGTAGATTCATAACCACCGTTCCCGGAGAGTTACACCAGTACTAGACAACCTTCCTCCGCGCTAAAGTAACAAAAAAAATTTCCCGGGGATCGAACCCACGTCAGAGAGTTAACTGGATTGTAAGACATCGATTCTAACCTCTCGACTACGGAGACGGTATTTTTAGTAAATGGTGATATTGTAGCTATAATGTTCACCGTAACTATATTTATCAGAAACGTTATTCAGAAAACAATACGGTAATCGATTATAAATACATGTACAGTTTAAAGGATTAAACGGAATGAAGCATCTACGTAGTGTTAAGAAATGTTAACGATATTTTCCTATTTTTCTAGGTAACTTCGATGTTAATTTTTCGTTTAAGTTGAGCCGTATTCTGAAAACGGGCATGCGCAAAACAATTTATATAGACTGCTCCTAATGATTTTACGCTTAAAATGAGTTTCATTCACTGCAATCAAATACGCAAAAATGGATGCCTCCACCAATCAGTCTGAACACTATGGAGAGGTCTGATGACCTCTCCAATAATGTACCCCATACAGCCTTGTACGTATGTAAAATAAAGATGACACGATAGTTAAACCACCTTTTCATTACTATATCAGTTTATCAGAGTATAGCATGAAAAAAAAATTGAAGCCTATTTATAGAATATATATGTTTGGTAATTAACTATATTATGATGCATGGCTGATATAGAACACATAGTTTGTATTAAAAGTGTAAATAAAAACAGAATCTAATTCTTCTATATAGTGTAATGTGATATGCAGCAATCCACATATGAGATCTAGTTAATTACGAAAGACGGTATGTAGATATTACGGTCATCATAATTAATGTTCCTGGTTCAAACATGTCAGCAGATATACTGATAACCAACATTACAAAACATAGTTTAAATTTAATAATTGTACAACAAAATATTTTACGCTTTAGCTTTACAGTCAATCACATATTCTCAGTGCAGTTCATTGTAGATTTTTATTTAGGCAGGTCGGGCCTTATCTTTAAATATCGTGACTACAAAACTAGTATCTTGATAGGTCAAATCCAAATTGATAAGGAAGCGAACATAAAGATTTAGTGCAAAAGAGCAAAAACATCCTCCAAACAAGATGAGGTCTTCATTGTTTCTACTGTTTATATCAGCTTCAGTTTTAGGTATGGTTATCTTAAATTTATTATGTAAACTAAATTCTTACAATATTTTGTTGGCTTAAAGTATACATGTGTACATTGTATAAGATATTTATTGAAATTTCATTTAAATTTTACTAGTTACAAATGTTTGGAAATGGTGTCTGGGTAGAAAGACTGATATATAATTGAGCCGCGCCATGACAAAACCAACGTAATGCGATTGCGACCAGCATGGCTCCAGACAAGCCTGCGCATCTGTGCAGTCTGATCAGGATCCATGCTGTTCGCTTCCAAACTCTATAACAAGTAGAGAAAATGATAGCGAACAGCATGGTCGCAAACCCATTACGTTGGTTTTGTCATGGTGCAGCTCATATATATTCATCTGCTTAATTCACATGCTTCTATATTTGATTTATGCACACTAGTGAGTACGTCTCAGCGACGTCGTACATGTCAAATGACGACACTGAAGATTTACTGAAGGCCTTCTAGTTGCCCTCGCTGTCTGTGCATATTTTTTTCAAGGAAGCGACAGTCACACGAGTAGAATCACCGACGTTTTAAGTTAGCTACAAAAATGGTCGAACAGGATACGAACCCACAATGGAAAGAGATACTTGTTAGAAGGGGGTCATATGAGGCGCGCGCATTCTCAAAAATCTGATACCGACCGGTATTTTGAACAACAACAAGTAATGTAAAACAATCAGAATAGATTTGAATTTAATTTCTTTTGCAAATATCTCATTGTTTCTAGTTTTAATATTACAAATGCCTTGACACAAGTCTTCCCCTTCTCGTCAGTATTTCGCGTTCAAATGCGATTTGGATACTGGATTATGCGTACACCCGGTGTTGAAATGTTGCAGAAATTGAGAAATTGTCAATTAAATTGAAAGTTTCAGACAACTGCAAGTTAGTTAATTGTAAAATCTAATTCATAAATATATTTTCAATATTAGTTCTTTTTCCTTGGTACAAAACATGTTTTTTTTCTTCAAAATACCAGTTGAAAAACGCTTGGCGGTATCAGAATTTTGAGGATGCGCGCCCATCGTATGAACCCCTTGTTAAAGAAATGCCACAGAAATGCTATCTTTTTTCCTTAAAAATCTTTCTATTTTTTGTATCTTGTTACAGTTTCCAAAAATATACTGATTTCCATAATGCTCAACATCACTAATTTCGCGGCATCACTTATTTTACGGTAATGGCATATTTCCACGTGACTAGTGTTAAAATTGGTAAAAAATAACATACTTAGTCATCTACCTAAATAATAAAAGGTTTGTGCAAAATAATTTAAATCTTTGACTTTTACGCAAAACGGAACAACATTTTACTCATTTCTGCAGAAAACCATAATAGTCCATTAAAATGTATGCATATAAACACGTCTGAAACAATCATTATTTTCTAATGATCTTGTTTGTTGACAATTTTTTAAAGCAATTTCAAAAAACAACGTAAACTAAGATAGATTTAATATTTAAAATTGAATGGTATAACAAGTAATAATTTTACCTTTTATCGGGATTTAAATGATGACATACTGTTAGCAAAATGGCCGACCTATGATTTAAATTTGATTTTAATTGAATATGTTGTAATTTCCTTCTGTAGTAAAATAGAAAATACCTAAGTATTCAGCTTATGACCATTTTTTTTCAGTACAGGACGTTAATGCTTGTTTTTATTCTTGTTTCAAATCGTTAAGTAGCGTTATGTAAGAGGAGTACAATATATATGAGATATCTTTTGCTGCCTTTGCTCTGTCAGCTTACATTGTATAATTATAGCAGATAAATATTTTGTATGGAAGTCAATTACTTATTTGTTTACAGCTTGCTACATTTACGACACATTATTACTGCATGTTTACTGTTTAGCGCTACTTTCCTCAGTATTGAAACATGTAACATGCTCCAAATTCACGATTGAACCATTATTAGACACACATATATATATATGACATTTCTAAAGAATTAAAAACGAAAATGAATATCTGAGACAAAATGCTCCTTTAAAGGTACCGTGAACTGTTCTTATGAATTCTTATTTTGATAAATTGGTTGATTAAACATAACTATTTCTCATGGTGTTGAATTCATTAAATGAATGAGTAAATTTAGTCAATGGTGTTTCATAACCTTTAATCAAAGGCCCAGTACGCTTCAGAAATGCTTTTATTTTTATTTCTCAAAAGCTTTTGAATTTTGATGTTCTTTTATTGTAGTCAAATAGTTATTCATTGCCCAATTACCTAAATCATACTTTTCAGCTGTTGCTTTTGTCAATAAGTACAGTTATAGTGAATATGTATTTTGTATGGAACTTCAAGTCAAAATATTTCTTTGTTTAAATTTCGTTACATTTATGACAAATTATATCATATTTATAACTACATTATACAGCTAGGTAACAAACATCTATGATTATCTGAAACCGTTATATAAACATTATGAAATTCATGTTTGTCCCATCTAAAGAAGTAAAAAGACATTAGTTTCTGAATCTTTAAAGTGCCTTTAATGATTTAATTACATTTCATAGAAAAAGTGTTCTCCTTGTTTTCAAGTATTCATATCAATTAATTATATAAATAGGACATAGGTCATCTGTCAGGTTATTTATGTCACGTTTTTTGACATGATTATATGCCGACAGCATATAATTCTCACATAGAATTATGCTACATAATCACGAAATGATTATACTGAGTTGCTTAAAGAAAGTGTGCATTTAGTAACAATAACATTTTGAATACTCTTGTAGGCAAAATATTGACATACTTGGTATCAGAATTTGCAAATTTCAATAGACTACACGATGGTTTACTTTTGATTGAAGTTCGATCATAATCAGAATATTATTTTATGTATAAATAGCGAAGGGTGAATGAGAAAAAAATGCTTCTTGACTTTGGATATCTGGATATTCGAACAGAATGTCATTCCAGCATACTCCAGACTCATTCAAGACGAAATATCTGGTCCATGCGGCGAAGGACACTAGCCTTAATCCGTAGTCGAGATTAGCGCAACAGTAAACAGTCAAACCTTAAACAAAGACCACTGGAGTGAGAGACAAAAAGTGGTCGTTATGGAAAAAAGTGGTCTTTGTTTTGAAGTTACTTATTCCAAGTAACTTATTACTTATTACTTAGTCTTTCGATATGCACATGTTTGTTCCGGGATCGTGGACGGTATTTGTATTCTCGTCATTTTAGACTGTCTTTTATAACTCGGCAAATTCTTATGTTGAATAAGATATCCACGAGATCATTAATGAAAATTTTCAAAGCAATGTAAAATATTTATTGGGAGGGAATTCACAGATTTAAAATATCCGAGAAATTTAATTACTGTACTTTATAATACTGTACTTTATAATTTGGACGTGCATACATTTCAGACATATCCTTTAGATTATTATACTAACTTTAGAATGGCCAATGGCATTCAAGGATTTCAGTTTGAAATCTTAAAATGACCAATGAAAATCCTTCTAATATTCAGTTCTTCCCTGTTAATTTTACAGGAAGTCAAATCGACCTCAGACGGACTTCGTCCGAAAAACGACATTTAATCCGTATTAAATCTGAGGTTATTATGAACAATAGCCGAGGCTTCCGATTGTTCCATTCCATGAAAAACGCACTCTGGTTCTAAACCAAAATACAATGGGCGAAACCTAATAAAATGGAATTTTTAAAGGGGATCATAGGATATGAAGCCTACATATCACGGGAAATCAGCCAAAAGGCAATTTTAAAAAGCAGACAACATAACCTAGGTGTATTTAAACTCAAGATCACCGAGCTAGAAGTTTCGAACTTTTTTCTGTTCACCCTTCAGATACACATTCAAATGATATCAAATTATTAACAGAAGCGTAGTTTATACGCTTTTACTGTATGACAGTTTGCAACCAATAACACACTTTTTATTGCAAATCAGTAAATATCTGTAGTAACTGTCAATGTCGTCCCCTGCTAGAACAAAAGTTGATTAGACCTTATCACCAACTAGTAAAGTGCAGTCTTACCATGCTCGTATACTGTTGTGACCGACCAATTAAATATTTGAACCGCCTCACGACAAAGCCAACATAATGGTTTTGCGACCAGCATGGATCCAGACCAGTCTGCGCATCCGCGCAGTCTTATCAGGATCCATGCTGTTCGTTTTTATACAAACTATTACAAAGTGGATGAAGACTGGGATAAGGGGCAAACATCCCATGGCGGACTCCTGATCAGACCTGCGGATCGACCAGGAAGATGTAACGCAGGACTGGTCTCTAATCATGCTTTCGTCGCAAAGCCATTGTGGTGGTTTTGTCGTGACACCAGGCTCATTTTCTTCTGATAACTAGTATCTCAAAACATTTGACCATTCCAAAACTTAAAAATGTTTAAACAAAAATTTTTCAACACGCGATAAGTGTAAGTTAACGCATGGTTGTAATGCATACATGATTTAATTAAAAAGAGTTTCAAAATATATCGTGCATCTTTTCGGGCCTTAAACATGTAAATAAATTCAGTAATGTTTGTTTGTTTGTTTCATTTTACGCATTTTCCCAACAGTATTTCAGTCATATAGGCGGGTAGTTTCCTAACCATCGTTCCTGGAGAGTTACACCAGTACTAGACTACCTTCCTCCGCGCTAAACTACCAAAATATTCTATTTATCACATATCCAAAATTAAAAATGTTTAAAGTGAAAATATTTTTTTTCAATGACGCGCCTATAGTGTAACGTTAACATTTAGCGCCTCAGTATATTAAAAATGACGTCACTTCAAAATATATGTGCAATACTATTTTTACGGAGTCGCAAAATTTTAATAAAAGTTTATATAATATGGCAACGAATTTGAAAACGACTTAGCGGTAAATAAATAAACGAGAAAATTGTCCCTTTGCGTTTTACTTCCGCTTTTGTATTGTTTCTGTTGTTATGCGTGGGTAATAAATAAATAGATAGATAAATAAATAAATAAATAAATAAATAAATAAATGAATAAATAAATAAATAAATAAATAAATAAATAAATAAATAAATAAATAAATAAATAAATAAATAAATAATTGCTATGTTACATGGAGAACAAGTGACATGTGATAAAAATATGATAATTTATTTCAGTGACTGTCTTTTCTGAAAAATGTAACCATGGAGACTCCACCGGTTGTTCCAATCAGTGTACCAATGCTAACGAGGTAGTAGGATGTGAGCATGATACATGCACGTGTGTGCCAACGCCTCAAGGTGAGTTTGGAATACGTTATAGTTAATGTCATTGTAAATGCTAATAAGAACTGCTAATGAAAGACAAATTGTATTGTATACGTACATGAATCTCTCTTTATTTTTTATTTTATCCTGGCGAATCTGAAGAATGTCCATATCTTTAGCATTAGATTGTTTTATTTGGGTAACACCGTTAGTGCAAAGGACAATCCGAATCCGGTTTGACGACTTTCTAGCCTTTCTGATACAGGTGCCATGTAAATGTTTTATTTCAGGCTCGAACGAGCAATATTTCAGGAATTAGCTAGAAATGTAGGACCATCAATATTCTGTAAGCTACCTGGATAGCTTTTTTACATGAACGAATCCGGTTACTTGTAGGATTTGAAGCATCAACGGTGAATTGAAGTAAAAAATATTAACCTTTCGGCCTAGGAGGTCATAAAATACGTCTGAGTCACGATTTTTCAAATACTATAAAAGGTCCAGGTAGATGATTGAAACTTGTCACATCCGCCATTAATTGTGGATGTGTTAACTAAAAAGGTGTTGTTGAGCGATGATCACTATCAATTTAGCTCATTTTTTGCTGAATATTTTTTTATTATTTTATGCGTAATATTTGTAATTGTTCATATGTAATACTTTATTTACATTGAAGCACCATTTACTTATCTTTGTAACAATACATGTACATTTGTATTTTTTACAGCGTGTATATTGGGGGCAGACTGTGCAGGCCTAGGAACTTGTCCAAAACATGACGAATCTTACCACTGTGTGGATGGTGCATGCAAATGTCAAAAACCATGATTGCAATAGAAAACATGTATAAATATCTAACTTATAGAAAGTCATACATATAAAACATTTAAATATGGAGCTTTGCCTTATATTTACTTCAGACCGCCTTAGTTGTCATTCATTTGTTTACCACGTTATTTAAATAGTTTCTAACAGACAAGCTGATTCGTTTGTCAGAATGGTTTCAGCTTTGATAAATCTTTCTTACTTAGCCAAGTAGCATGTACACATTTGCGCGCAATCAGTCCTTCTCAAAACATTGCGCGTTTAAACAATTTTGTAGTAGAAAATAATCCAAATTTAGTTAATATCCCATGGCTGATTTATAAAATATAAAGAAGTTAGCTTTAACATATAAACATGTATAGGAATTCCTATTTGTCTGAGCTGAAAACTTGAGTGATCGCATATCAACTTATAAAATGACTTAAGATTATTCAGAGATATAACAGAATACGAGCGTATAACTTTTAATCCTATTTCTTATATTCGTTAAAACTTAAGGTTGTGCCCTTATCGCAAGACCAACCAAACTCTGACAATCTTCTCAAATGTTAGGAAATAACGTCTGCTAAAACAAAGGTAAAAGCGATTTTTGCAGACTTTTTTCGGCTTAGCAATTGGTATATTCCTTTTAAAATAATTGACACTCCGAAACGAGAAATAAATGTTATATTTTAGTCATATACCCCGTTACAAAAAAAAAAATGATTACATATTGTCTCAAAATGGACTATTTGTTCTACCCATAGGATGAAAAATGTATATTTCATATTGTTAGACAATTGACTGAAAGCACATACGATAATTACATGTATCACAGGAATATAAAATAATATGAAAAGAAAATGTCATTAAGGTAGAAGAAACGTTAACAAAGTGGTATTTTGAATTCCATACAAAATACGTACTAAATCACCCAACTGTCCCAATTGCAAAAAGTAAAAAAAAAAAAGCTAACGATGGTTCTGCTATATGACCAATGAGTGCAGAACAAAAGGTAATATGTTTTGAGAGATGAAAGTAAATAGCATTTTTGGGGTTTAAATGGACTTATAAAATCAAGTACGTAATCAGTTTGGATGAACGACTGTCTGAATTCTCATACACAAAAGCAGTGTTTCTGATCATTATTTTGTTCGTTTGGTAATAGCAAATAAGAATGATTATTCGAGGCTTTTAACATTTATCGTCCCCTTTGTTAAAGTACAGATTATTTATTTATGAATTGCAATGCGCAAATGAATTCATCAATCACAAATTACGCTTGTGCCAATGTGTCAAAACTGGATATAATTAAAACAATATTTTAGACAAAAGGAAGGTATAACCAAATCGTAATCTAATTAGATTGTATTATTTTCCTGGCAGCCGCGACGGACAGCCCCGTCAGTCCGAGACGTGTTGGCCATTTTTTGTCTATTTATCCAAAACAAGTTATGCTAGATTGTACAAAGATTCCTAGCGGTCTATCACGTTATACATTACAAACGTAGCAGCTTTTCCAAGACATTTGCGTTTCTCTTCTGCACAGTTGCTACCATGGCAAATTATGACAGTTAAACGAAATTTGGCCAGGTAATACTTATAGTTGCCTTTAATGTCCCTAAGAGTTTCCACACGTTCATTCTGTTTATCTGGTCTGAACGCTGATTGCTATGGTGGCTGATTTGCACCACTTTTGTGTGTCGTGTTGTTGCTAGCGACAGGACAACAAAGCGTAAAACGGCGTGTTGTCGGACTTTCGTCTCGTCGTCTTGTCTCTAATGATGCACGCCAAACGGCACGTTGTCGTGCGGCGTGTTGTCGCGATGTCACATTGTCGATGGGCTCAAATCGAAGGATTGGCTATTTGTATATTATATATAAGCCAAGCGACAGGGCGACATCGCGATATCAAGCCACACGAAAACACGTCGTTTGGCGTGCTTGCTAGCGACAATGCGATAAGGCGACAGTGCAACAAGGCGCCGTTTGGCGCGTTTCGCTAGCGACAAGACGACAAGACGAAAATCAGCCACCATAAATTGCAGATAATATCGACAAAAAGTGTTATCGTAACGACCATATCACACCAAGCAAGTTCAATATACGTTCTAAAATATTATATGGTGAAACGAGTTAAAACTGCCATAACTTACTGCGGCATGTCTAAGAACTTCGTGGGTGGACATGGACGTGTTTGATCGAAAATTTATACCCAGTTCTAAACGTTCAAAATAGGTGTTCAGTACGCCAATTACGTCCTTAATTCACAATCACAAACAAGAGCAATCAGTGATGAGGACTTGCAGAAACATGTTGGCGTTTTATAGCCGGCAAGCAAGGACATGATTTAAATGACGATCTGAACGCACCAAGGGCATGATGAAGACGTGGTCTGAACGTTGTAAACTGTCTACGACCTGTCTACGAACAAGGCGGCTGTGTTACGAACTAGTTTGTGCGGTATACAACGTAACTATAAGGGTCGGAGTGGAACTCGTAACAGACTGCAGACGGCCTTAAAGTGAGTAATACCTATATTGTTGGCAATTTAACCAAACATAAACTGCAATCAAACGGGCAAAGACGGGATAGGATTTTTTTAACAGATTTTCCGATGTTTATGCGTTTACACTTCACCATAGTCCGTTCGGATATTTTGAGAAACAGGTTGAACATGTTAAGAACTAGTAAGGTGTGACAGCGTAAGTGGTGAGGTCTTGTTCCAGATGTGGCGGTGTGGCGATGGTGTTTAAGTTTTTTTTATTCTTAACATAGAGGCGTAATTATGATTTATGCTTATGACAAAGACATTTAATATTTTGATTATTTTGCTTTTTTAACAGGTACTTCATCCCTATGGAACGCCATTCTGCCATGCCAATTGCAATTAACGAAATGACATTTGCTAATGATAAATGCGAAATGCAATTTGCGAAATGACATTTGCTAATGATTTTTGCTAAATGACAAATGCGAAATGTTATTGCTATATGCGCTTAATTCTTACTCTCTGGGGCTGGAATGGATGACAAGCAAATTGACGAATTTATCTTTTATTCTTTAATAAACTTTTGATAAATTCTTTGGCACATACAAATTAAACTCGTGTCTCTCATTCCATGTACAGTTACATGTAGTCGGACTATACATTCTTAGATTCGGTATTAAACTATTTTACTAAAATCCCCCCCCCTCCGGTGTTGTAAGTCAACTGTAAGGGACGTAATACACTGTATCTGTAACGATCCACAAAGAGCTGCATCAATTACAGAGAGTTTAAGGTTAGGGATTTGTATTCATGGGGCAAAAGATGGTTGGAACAGAAGGTTGATTTGACTCAAAGTAGACGAAACAAACAAAAATCCATGTCTGACTTGCACCTACTCTTTAAAGTCAATTCATGAGCTCAAGAAGGTTCCGTTCATATGGACCGGCTACAGAATATGTAAATATTGCTATGTCAAAATGCTTCTTCGTTCTCACCACAATGATATGTTTACAAGATGTGCTTTAATATGGATAGTTAAACGAATCACAACCAAAGGATCGAATGGTTTTGGCAATATTTGAGATAATCCCTGTTACAGACGTGCATGGATTAATTTGAGTGGTGTTTTGCAAAAATAAACAACGTTCTTTATACATAGTGCTTCTGTTTCATTCCTGAAATTCGTAATGAACTTCAACATCATGCACACAATTGGAATAAGCATCGTGTGCGAAAGATGAAGAATGTAAGATCTCTTTACACGATGTACACTACTGCTGAATTGTATTACTGTACCGAACAGCGCAAAGTTGCTGATGAAGTGGAGGTTGATCATTACTTGCAAATAAAAACTGATATGAACGTAATCAGTATTGCTGTCAAAAATGTTTTCCGACTGGGCCCTTTCTGTCATTAAACAATACAGATGGCAGATGCCAACTAATCTTGATAGAGCATTTTAACTGTTTTCAAATTTGATCATGGAAATGTATGCAAGTGAAAAGATGGAATACATGTAAATAAAATCATGGTGTCACAGTAAAATTTAGTATAAAGAATTATCGATTCATTTGTTATACATGTACATTTTTGAACCATTATAATACTCCCGCTAGGGAAATTATGAGTCGGTTGTTGGGGTGCTCATTTGGTCTGTATGCATAAATACCTACATTCTTGTGGCGCCAGCTTCTTTCACAATTCTTTAGGGATTGGTTTCTAACTTACAGTACATCATCATCATGAAATGAAGTTTTTCAAAAGTCAGTTAGGGCAATCCAGGCATTACAGATGCCCTTGAATATAGACATGCACATATGTATTATTTGAACATAAAAGATTGTGGAGCAAACTGCTTTCACATTTCTTAAAAGACTGGCTTCAATCTTGAAATATATCATAATCATGAAGTGAATATGAGCATGCCACAAAATTATGGTCTGGCAAATCAGGCATTGCAGAGTTATGTGCCCTTGAACTTAGACATTTTATGTATAAAGGCTTTATTCCTGCATGAAATTAAAGTTTGTTGTGCGGGGGGCTATTATTCGCATCTGTGACAATTTTAGATTGAACAAGTAAATTCATTAAATTTATTATGTATATGGTTATCGAGGCATTATATGTAACTTATAAACAAGCTGCGAAGTTGGCAATAATTATAGAACATTTATTTAGTTTTTGTTACACAAGCGACATTACTGAACAGTACTAAATTTAATTGGTATCTCTCCAGTATGTATTCTCATGTATTAATTCATGTTCCTCGGCGAAAAGAGGGCTTTTTGGTCAAAATGCAAAATACTAACATTTTTCCTAGAACAATAGGCTGTCCCCCAAATTGAGACGAGTTGGTCCACTGGTAGGACGCTCGCATGGGATGCGATAGTTCTCAAGTTCGGGGGACCTATTTTGTATTTCTTCAAGCATTAGGCATAGCGTAAAAGTTCGTATCAATGAATAGTGGGTTTAGAGTGCTATGTGCCTGCACAATTCATTGGAACTCCCCTTCTCTTTCTATCTGGGTAAAACAGGACGACTGTACTTGTCCCTGAGAGGGATTTAACAGTAATGGTAGATAGATATTTGAGAAAAAATCAACAAATTTGTAAAAATCATGTGTCTTATTTATTTGATTCAAACAGAGAACAAAATTAAAGGAGAGAACACATCAGAATCAAATTCAAGGGAAGAAACACGTCAATTATAAAGTACAAATTAACAAGCTCAACTTAGCAATCTCCATCATCATCAACAACAGCAGCAAAGCTTCTGACTCACTATGTTGCGTAGTGACACAATCTCTTTTTCTTCTTTCTGTAAATCTCAGAAACATGCATGTTATAATACAACAGAGATACAAAATATCCAAAAGTAGGCAAAAGAAATACACGTTTAACTTAACAAACTTATTAGCATATTGAAAAGTTAGGTATCTCCAAGCAAAGTTTAAATTTTATGGGTAACACTATATGAATTGGGAAAAATCTTGCTTAAAATACAGATATTATATCAAATACAAATGCTATGATTGAATATTACCACTATAGAATATACAGCTAGAATGAGATATTAATAAGTTTTATATTATTTAAATAATGTTTTTACATTGTGATCTCAAACCAAACTTTAAACTGGACGGGTCCTTTCGGAAACGGAAGTAGCTGTGTCTCGCCTCATATATTGCAGAATGGAATGTTTCTTTTAACATGAAGGACAAATAGTAACGCTTATATTTATTTTCAACAGCGCTGCATGTTGCAAAAGTGCTCATCTTTTTCTGCGTCCGGCAAATGAGATGTAATGACCTATCTGAGATATGGCCCGGACATGTATTAACTATTGAAATTCACAAAGGGCAATAACTCATAATCCATGCAAAAAGAGTTATGGTTCTTGTGTAATACACTTCACATATATGTAATTCATCTACCTACAAAGTTTCAAATTGATATCTTTTATACGTTTTGATATAGCCCGGACAAGAATTTAGTATAGAAATTTACAAAGGGCAATAACTCATAAACTATGAAAGGAAGACTTATGGTTCTTTTACACTGCACTTTTTCATGTGATATAGCTTCCTATCAAGTTTCAAGTCAATACCTCTTATAGTAGAGTTGTGGAGCGGACACAAGTGTGACGGACAGACAAATGGACGGACAGACAGACGGACAACGAAGTTGAACCCTGTACTTATTCGGACTCATTCAAGCGAAAACATATATGTAGCATCCTATTGTTGTTTTGGCATCTCATGACTGCACATTAGAATAAAAAAAATACACAGCAAAGACTGAAATAATAATACAAACAGAATCAACTCACACATAAATTCTGTTAAATTGTACTCATAACTAATAAACATGATACATGTCCCATACAATACTGAAAAAAAAACAACTTCATTTCTTTTTCGTTTATTCAAAAGTTTCATTCATAAAAGTCAATATTCTGTCCATCAGGTTGCAAGTTAACTTTATCCAGTTTATAGGGTAAAAATGTCGTTAATAATTCTTACATATTTCAAACTGAGTAATAATAAATGCCAGATAATCAGACAACTTCATTAATTGAACAAAATCCAGGTACACAACAACTCATTCTAGTATAGGAAAACTCCACACACCATTTTGTTACATAAAATAAGAGGTGAAGTACATACATGTAGTAGAAATAGGAAGTAATATTATAAATTCTTGTTATATGAATACCCAAAATTTTAAACAAATATATTTTCGTCTAACAAAATGTCTTGAAAGAAAAGACTATGAAAGCGTTCATTTCCTTGCATATTTATTTAATATGACACTAAACTATTCAACATGTAAATAAATAAAAAAGAAAACTAAATATGAAGGGATCTTAATAGGGCAGTGCAATTGATTATTCTGAAGAAAAAAAATAAAGCAAACTTTTGAAATAATTTCTTTTGTATTATTGAACAGAATTAAAACAAGAGTTGGTCGTTTTACAGCCAAAGCTCGTGTATTCAAAGTTGTCATTATATTAGAGATTTTGACAGAGATACAATCAAAATTTACAATATCAGTATAAAAAAGTTTAAATATTAGAAAAGAAGGTAAAAATGCTCCATTACTTTAATGACCATCATTTTATTTAAGTCCTGGCATAAGATTCCAGCAAGTCACATCACATTTCTTTACAGTAACAGACTATTTTTTGGATCGGTGGCATATACTGGACAGAATTTATTAGCATCGACGTAATCGATCTACTGTTTCTAAATTATCACCTCTACTTTTCAAGTCCTTGAATTCTCTTGACACACTTTTCTCCGTTTGCGCATTTGCTGAGCCACTTTGCTCCGATGACGCATTAGCTCAACCTACATTTCCCGGTTTGCTTCGTTTTGCTGACATTTCAGCTGGACACACTTTTTCCTCAGAGTCACTGAAGTACATCAGTGGTTTGTTTTGCATACCCATGTATAATCTTGTGGCTCCAACATACTTCTTATTGTGTTGAATGTAGTTAAAAACAGAAAAATTATCTTCATCAAACATCTCGTCCACCATAATTTAAAGGATTATATAACCCTCATTTTAACATTCATCATGAAATTTAAGATCTACTAGCAGTCTGTTTCTCACAGTTTCATAGTCATCATTACAACCTTAGTGCAGTTCCAATACTTTGTGTTTTATAGAGCGCATCAACTTAAGCTCCAGCCCTGTTCTCCTTCACGCCACAGCGTATCAAGTACTCCTCAGCCTGCAATACGAAACAATAACAGTAATTATTTATAGTTACTTGCTACATGGCATTGGCAGTGTTCATTACCATTAATGCCAATGAATAGTCTAAATCAAACCCAGTCTTCTATCTTCAGTTTTTGTATGTATTTTTTGGTTCGGGTGTATCATTTATCAAGAACTTATTGCTAAATTTTTACTATCAACAACTGTCAGATTACTATGGATGGCTTTTCAGTGAGGCCTTGGTCAAAGTTTTAAACCTTTATCTACAATAACAGCTGCCTGCTGTCATAACGAGTATTTTTTTTAAAAAAAATTGATATCTTTGTGACAATGCTACTGTATTTGCCCGCAAAAATTAACCAAGCTGTGAAGCTGACGCGATTCCCGACACCAGGGTGAGTACAATATCTTGAAATATTCTTGGAGCTAAAAATCATACCTATATTTTCTGTTTTGTTGCAACAACTGGAGAACTTGTTGGCATCTTTCTTGATGCTTTTAAGGACAGGAATTTCCATTTAAGTTCTTCTAAAGTAGGAGCACTACCTATAAAATGTTTTGACAGAGTATTATTATTTATATTAGCAAGCAAGCAAATAGAAAGCAAATGTTTCCTTAAAATGGAGCGTCTCATGGAATTTCCAACAATATGTGACATTTTGGTCATTTTGAGATGCTTAGATATTCACAAAGCACAATCTATTACAGACCTTCATATCAAAAGTATTTAAAACTGTAGCTTGGATATTTATAATTTTAATAACTATTAACACTATATACAAGCGAATTACCGGAAATGACTTTTAAACAATTGATAAAAAAGTTAAAAACATATATAAATGGTCAATTACTGCTAATGATACTAAAGTTCTATTCAATATTTATCACACAGTAAAAGGATAAACATTTGATAAGCATTGGCACACACATTTAAAATGTCATGTTTGGTCCAAATCGTTAACAAAATCACTGGTTACATTTATGTGAATATGGTTAAAGATCCTGTAACACATTTTTTTCATGGTTTTATTTCATAAATATGGTGTTCAATTTAAGATTTGTCAAAATTGTAAGTTCCAATAAGCATTATTTAAAAAGATATTACCGAATTTAACATTTCATGTAAGTAAAGGGGGGTAATTAGAAATTTATTTTCTATAAATTATAAGTCAAATTTTTCAATAAGAAATGAATGCATATAATTTATTTATTAAATATAATGTCCACAAATATTTGCAGTACACATTTTACATATTCTTCGATGTTTGAAAATTGTTTTATTTGCATAATTTTATACATATATAATTTTTTGCAAGTGTGGTATAAACACAGTAACAATATCAATCACAAAACATACAGGATCTTTAATAAAACATTAATTTTCCTCAAAATATGCCATATTTTGTATAAAATTAATAGGAAAAACACTGCATACAAAAGAAATTTCTTATGTAAATATTATTATGTAAATAATATCTGGTCATTCCTGGTACAATGCATCCCCTGCATTAAGTACTTTGAGGATACTGTCGTAGATCTTATCCTTCAACACGACTTAATTTAAGCTTAAAAAACCCAAACATATAAAAAATATTCTTTATTACTGTTTATGTTGTTTTTACTTCGCAAATATCTGTTTACTACCTACCTGGTCTGAATTAATGGTGGAAATTGATCGGAAATAACCTTGTGCCAATAAGCATTTTGCATTTATCATTAGCAAATATCATTTCGCATTTATCATTTCGCAAATAGCAATTCGCAAATAGCAATTCGCATGGCAGAATGGCTTTCCATACATCCCAGATCGAGAAATAAACATACTGAATAAATTTAAATGAAATGCTAAAGATATGCACATTCCTCTGCTGTAATCGCGGCTCGATAATGATGATACACCACGTCGGTATTTAAATCAAATCCATTTCTGTTTTGCCGTCCTCAAAACATAATTGGTCATCAACATCCATTCCTTTGCTGCTAACTATTACAGTTAACACTGAGGCGTTTGAAAAGGTGAGAACATATTTTAATTATTTGGTATACATGTATATCCGCATGGCATCTTTCTTAAAAGCCTAATAATACTTTAAATTATGTTTAGTGAGAGTGTTTCGTTGCGATAAAATTGATGACATGGAATATGAGAGTGACAGTGGAACCTGTCAAATCAAAATTTGTCAGCAAACGGTTCGAATGACAAAAGTTTCCGGATTTTTAAGGGTTTTTAAGACTTGCAATTTTGAGCAGTTTTCAAGCTAGAAAAGCTAAATTACCTTTGTAGATCCCTCACGCCCCCTAGCACCGGCTTGAGCGGTACTCAATTCTCAACACTTTATAGTGTTGGCACCAATGATCCAGAAGGACCAGAAAACATAACAACACTGAAGTGAAACATGTATCATGACAGGAAATGAACCAGATCTAAATAACATTGAATAAAATGCATTTGAAATGTATTTACTGGCAATGATCGGAAATGTGTTTTAATCCAACCAACTCTGTGATTTTTTCAAAGACTTTGCAGACCTTATGCACCGAACTGAGAAAGACATCTATCGGCATGTGTCTGAAAACTCGGCAAAACAGGCTTAAGTTTAACCAAATTGTCTAAAATTATGTTCTGAAATAAATTTTAAGACCTTTTATTGCCCAATTAAGGTAGTACACACCTAATGCTTTATCTCCACATTGAAGAGTATTCAAATAGGCTAGAATCACTGTAAAGTGTATTGAAACTGAGGGGCGTGGGTTCAAACCCCAGAAGGGGCAACTTTTTTTTCTTTCTTTTTTTACATTATTTATCAATCTCTCAGATCAATAATGGAAGAAAAAAGTGTTTCATTTTAATTATATAATTATTGTAGGTATTTATTTACTAAATAATGCCAAATTTAATAGCAAATATGATATCAGATATTTTCAAAGTTAAATAAAATAAAAACTACACGGTTAAAGTATTTTATATTTTGCAAGACCAACCAATATACATTAAAGAAAATTTAGGCAAACTTTAAAAACAGCCCCTCATTGTGGAACATTTTAGGGATATTCTAAATAAGGCTTTTTACAAAGGGAAATGGTCAAATAAGTGTTAAAAGTGGGTGGGGTAGGGTTACATTTTTATACATATTAAAATCATTTTGTTTAAAAACAATCATTTTGCTTGTTTAATTTGTTACCTAAATGTCATTATTTGTTTCTTAACAACCAGCAATAGGAAAACATTTTTCAGGATGATGATATTATAGATTATTGAGAGTTTCCTCATTTCTGAAAAAAGCCCTTCTAATGGCAAAGTTTTAGTTCAGAAAAATGTCCATAACTCGTAAACCACACGGTAAATTTTGTTTAGATTTTGCATATAGGTGACATTTAAGACATATAACTGTCCTATGTTGTCAATTTTACAGTTCCTTATATTGCCCATTAGGGGTGTTCTACCTTAAGCAACGCTCTTAAAAAGATAACCAATATAAAAAAGAAAGTTCTAAAGCATTCGACTTTACTTCGATTTTATGAAGTTTATTAAGTTTGTAGCTATTTTGAAAATTTGAGTAACGTTTTTAGATTTTTAATACCAAACTGTTTAGTTGATTTTGTATTATATTTTCAAAGATTAGATTTGTGTAATGTGTAATTCCCGTGAATTTCTTCATAAGAAATATGTAAATCATGCGTGCTTTTACCAAGTTTTGAATAATGCAATGAACATGCAAATCTGATTTTCTTCCAACGACTTAACTCAATAAAAAAAATGTCTCGCTTTGGTAATTCGTAAAAATGTAAAAGGAGTTTTTATGAAACAAAAAAAAATATGATTTCATGAAATAGATTTAACAGGAAAAACAAAACCTTGGCATTAAGCGTTAAACTTATTTATAATTTGTAGCATTTTAGGTGTAACGTATCTTTTGCTGTACTAGAAAATCACTTTCTCCTTATAGAGCTGTGTAAAGAGCACATCAAATCATATTAAGCTGTTCGTGTATGGTGCTCCATTGGGTATCTTTTAGCTGGCCCACTGCGTATGTTTTGATAAAGTGGGCACTATGTTACGCGAAAATTGCCCTCCATAGATGATATTTTCTCACATATTTAAGACAATATTCCATTATGAATACAGCGTGGTATTATATTTTCAATATTAAAATCTTGCTGAGCTTTCTTGTGTTGGAAATCAAATGAAATTTGGACTTGTATAACGTTGCATTAAGTTCATGACAACTTGTAAACATAATTCAACCTCCGTGATCTCGTAAAAGTATATGTTTAAAATACGATTTAAAAATACATTCACTACTTCAATGTTCGTTTAATAGTTCTGTTTAAAACATTTTGCGTTTCACTTTCATAGTGTTTGCAATATTATTATTTTACTAATTGGCTGGTAACACATTTCCTTTTTATTCAGAAATAAAAAAACACACCTTAAGATTTTGCTTGAAACGAATTGGTTTTCAGCATCAACTGACGTCAGCAAGATGAAAAAATCTCATCAATTTAAAACGAATGTCGATATGACATATTGCACGGAAAGCTGCAATTAGGAAAGTTTGCTTACATTGTACATCAAAGAGAACATGCATTTACATAATAAATGGTCTTTAAAATTAACCCGAAGGAAATTTTCATACTTGTTAAGTCAAAGAAAGAGATTCGTTTATGTGGATCTAATTATCAAGTATTTGAACTGATAACTTTGGAACGTCGCTCAGACATGTCATTATCTACTGGCCATTTGCTGCTTGCCACTTGCTTCTTGTCAATGATAACTTGCTACTTGCAATTTGCAACTTGCTACTTGTCATTGATTTTTGCCATTTGCTCCATGCCATTTTACTACTTGTCACTTGATCCTTGCCATTTTCTTTTGTCATTTGCTACTTGTCATTTGCTCCCTGCCATTTGCTATATATCACATGCTAGTTGCCATTTGCTGCTTAAATTGCCATTTGTTACTTGTAATTTGCTCTTTGCCACTTGCTACTTGCTATTTGCTACTTGCTACTT